CCCTGCTGACGACCGGCACGTGGAGAGCTGAGTGACCCAGGGGAGCAGGCACCCACCTGGGGGTCTGGGGCTGTGGTTTGCCTCCCAGTGTCCAAGCCCCTTTTTTCCTGGCTGTCAGCTGGGGACGCACTTCTCCCCTGCCAGCAGTGTGCCCCGGGTGACACACGGTAGCAGTAAGACCAGCCCGGGTCTGCTGGGACACAGCAGCTACCTTCTCTGCTGGGTCGGGACCAGGAGAGGATGGCTGAGGGGCAAAAACACGTGAGAATGGTCACAGAACGGAGCAGAACCAACAGACCAAAAAGAAGAAAATTGCTATCAATGGCACTGAGCCCCTGGATCCAGCCGTTCCTGAAGGCAGCCCATGCCTACCTAGACCTTTCAGCTTACTGATCCAATGAATTCTTTATCACTTGATTTTTTGAGTCGGTTTTCTGTGACTTATGGACAAGATCCTGACTTCTATTCCATTCTGAACAGACTCTGTATTTCTTTGACTCCAGCAATATGGTTGTTTGGAGATATAGTGATACTAGCACTTTCCACTCTGAGGTTGGGACATCCAAGGATATATTTTCAGAGGGCAGGGAGTCTGTGAGATTTTTTAAATGCTGTGAGTTGATCTTGGTGATGATCTGAAGCCATAAATAACAGCATCCTGGCTCATAGCAGTGACACTCGGCTTGGGACACTGCCACCTGGTTTCAGAGGTGAGTCTGGGACAGGCTTACCATCACAACCTCCAGGGCCTGAGGTTAAACAATGCACATCTCCTGCTCACGGTTCCCGGGCTGGACGCCCATGATCAAGGTACCGACAGGGCGGGCTGCCTTCTGGTGAGTGCCCGCATGCTGCTTCCCCAGGGAGGGTGGCGGGAGTGCCCTGGAGCAGAAAGCTGCAGCCTCGGGCACACAGGCTATGCGGTGCTGGCAGAGCAGAGTCACAGACAGGCTGCTGAAACCCAGGGCCCAGCCTGGGCAGCCCCGGAGCGTAGCATCGTGGCCACTGAGCCTTGGGGAAGGGGGAGCCAGGCCACAACCACAGGGGCCACGCTGGCCCCCCGGAGCCTGGTGGCTGGTGGCTGGCTGGGGACCTGGACCCTCTGTCCCCGTGGGGCCAGCTGGTGCGGACACAGCAGACAAGGTGGCCAAGGCCTCCCAAGGCCTTTTTTGGAGGGAGGGCCGGCTGCTCCCGAAGGGGTGGGGGACACGGCTGCTTCCTGCCCCCCCACCATCTGTGGCGTAGGTGGAGTTCAGAACCAGGAGGAGACGCGAGTTCTTGCGGATGTGACGCGACCGGGCAGCCACAGACCCCACTGCCCCACAGGCCGCCGTGTCCGGTGCCTTCGCCAACCACAGACTCGCAAGAACGTTTGGAGCGAGAGGCGTTTCTCGTAACAAAGCACCTTGTCGCTGCAGTTCACTGATTGGTCACAAGTGTCACCCAGCTTCCCCAGGACGGTGGCACATGGTGGCCTGGTCCTCGAGGTTGCCCGGAGCACCCAGGGCCCTGCCTCCGGCGCATGTCCGCCACCGCCTGGCTCTTCTGTGACCCTCCTGTCCTTCCTCCTCTGTGTGCAAGTGGATTTGACCATGTTTCCCTGCAAAAGCTCTTTGAATATTGTAGGGATTTGCCATTTTCCTGGCATTCGTTTTGCAAATTGTTTCTGTATCCATCATTGACCAACCACCTCTGTCCCTGCCTCCCTACAGCTGAAAACCGTGTCTTGTTTTAACTTGACCCCTCATCTGATTTGGGGGCAGGGGCGGGTTTGCAGGGAAAGTCTATTCAAAATGTCACAGACTGGACCTCTGGGTCATCCTGAGCCATACGTTGCACTGGGGAAGATGAGGGAAGTTAAGGCGTCCGCCCTGGCAGAACATGTTCTTCCCAAGGCCTCCCCGAGCTCTGGCCTCAGATTATGCAAATAATACACACTCAACACAAATGCTTCCCAACAAGCTGAAAACAAGAAAAGAAAACTGTACCTGCTGACCTTGACCTTGCCACCTTCACGCACAGCGTGGAGACTGTCACTGGGTAGATCCTGCCACATGCTTGATAAAATAAAAGAGTCTCACACTTATCTGCTCTTTTTTTTTAATTCTTTAAATCTTTTTTATTTATTTCTGAGACAGTGAGAGAGAGACGGCGTGAGCAGGGGAGGGGCAGAGAGAGAGGGAGACACAGAATCCGAAGCAGCTCCAGGCTCCAAGCTGTCAGCACAGAGCCTGATGTGGGGCTCGAACCCCCGAACCATGAGATCATGACCTGAGCCAAAGTCAGACGCTTATCTGACTGAGCCACCCAGAGGCCCCTACACTTATTTGCACCTCGGCGTCCCCTGAGTCTCCTCTACGGCCGGTACCCGGCCTGGGACACAGCGCTAGGGCCATCCCACCCTCGCTGGCTGGGCACAGATGCAGAGGCCCAGGTGAGGGCTCCTGCTGCCACTCGCTGTACGAGAACACAGTCATGACCCAGGCACTCCCGGACGGTCCCTTGTCCTGTTAAGTCCGGTCCCTGTTCCTGCTATTCAGGGATGCTCCAAGTGGGCTGGGTCCCACCCGTGTCTCACCCACTGCACCTGAGTAGCATTCTCTCTTCCATGCACCATGTTCTGTGTGTGGTGGGCTTGGTGGCCGTGTGTCCCGATGCCGTCCTGGGGCCAGCCTCCCCGCCCAGCGTCCCCAACGAGCCAGGCACTGCTGTGCGAGGGCACCACCCACTGCAGTATGCGGGGCCTGAGGGAAAGCTCCTCACGGCCACTTCGGACACCCACACAGTGTGGATTTTTTAAAACCAGCCAGTTCAAGAGAATATGAAAAACAGCCATGTGGAAATCCTTCACCAGAACGTGCAGACCATTTGGGCACATCATGAAGAAAAACACCACAGCTGATTTCTGCGGAAAGGAGACTCTGGCTGTGCCTTAGGAGAATATTAAACCTGACCCTGGGTCACACAGGGAGGTGCGCGGACATCTGTCCTGGGAGAGCATGGCATGCGGGTGCATTCTTAGTGTCACGTGTATGATTTTAAATGAGATATGTTACAGAGAGGTGGATGGACGTTTTAAATAACCATGTGCGCACACAGAGTTGATTAGGCGTGTGTGTGTGTGTGTGTGTGTGTGTGTGTGTGGCTCTCTTGTTGCAGATGGTGCCGTACCTTATTTTTAAGCACTGTCTGTGGTGTATACAAAGTCAGCACACACAAAACAGCTTCTTACACTCTCTTGTATAAAACAGTGTCTGGAGCTTTTTTAAGAAAGAAAAAGAAGGCACACTTGTCACCATCTTACGTCCAGAAAGTTGCATATTTCTGTCCTGGTCTTTCTGGGACAGATTTTTATATTGGTTTTCAGTACATTTCTACCTATGATTCTGCAAAAATACATATGGGTGTATATACACAAAATATGCGTATAAGTAGACCAGCAGACGTGGTAAATAAATGCACACGCACACCAGGTGCGCACACACGCACACACACTCATACACACATGCACACATACACTCATACACACATGAACACACCACACACGCGTGCACACTCATACACACACGTGCATACATACACTCATACACACATGCACACACCGCACATGCACACGTAAGTGCGCCCACACGCGTGCACACACCACACAAGCGCACACACCACACACCTGCACACATGCACACACACGCACGGCCCCCCAAGGCTTGGCCGCCCAGGAGACTCCTGGAAGTGTGCGGATGACGGGCTGACAATGTGTCGGCCCAGGAAGGCCTGGGTGTGGTTCTGGGAAGAGCAGCAGAGCTGGAAACCAGGCAGAGCAGCACGACACACAACAGGCATTGTGTCGGGTGTGCGGTGGTTGCTGTTTCAATGTCTGCCTTGCATTTCACGTCTTGTATTCAGTGCACAGGTGGAGCCACAGGACCATGAAAGGAGCCAAATGCCCACCAGCTGATGAGTGGATGAGAGGACGTGGCTTATAAACACAGTGGGATACTACACGGCAACGAGAAAGAATGAAACCTGGCATCTTCAGCCACGTGGATGGAACTGGAGGGTGTTATGCTGAGTGAAATAAGTCAGGCAGAGAAGGAAGATACCGTATGTTTTCACTCATATGTGGATCTTGAGAAACTTAACAGAAGACCATGGGGGAGGGGAAGAGGGAAAATAGAGAGGGAGGCAAACCATAAGAGACCCTTCAGTACAGAGGACAAACTGAGGGTGGGGGAGGGGGCGTGGGGGATGGGCACGGAGGCGGGCACTTGTTGAGCCGAGTGCTGGCTGTTGTACGTAAGCGATGAACCACGGGATCCACCCCAAAATCAAAAGCACACTGTATACATTGTATGTTAGCTACTTGAAAATAGGTTACATTAAAAAATAAAAATAAAGTCAGCATGTAACACAAATGCACATGAGAATCCAGTAAAAATAAATAAATAAAAATAAAAACAACTGCAAAGGTGGGGCACCTGGGTGGCCCAGTCAGCCATGATCCCAGGGTCGTGGGTCTGAGCCCCACGTCCGGCTCTGCGCGGACAGTGCGGAACCTGCTTGGGGCTCTCCCCCCGCCCCCTGCCTCTCCCACTCTGTATCTCTCGGTGTCTCTCATAATAAATAAATAAACTTTTTTTTAAAATAAATAAAAAATAATGCAAAGGCCACCATTCCGAGACCAGCCCTGTGACCCTGCATGATGCCCGGCAGCCGGCACACCCCGGCGATGTGACGTCCGGATGCCGCCCTCCGCTCGCCCTCTGGCTCCCTGTCAACCCCCCGGGCTCCTCGGAGTGACGACTCGAGAGAAGAAAGCTGTTGGCTGCCAGTAACGCCATCAGGCAGGGAGGCAGGGAGCGAGGCCAGCAGACTCCGCATTTCTGGGTGGAGGACCGAGGAACGCATTTGCGCCAAGCACTGCATGCCAGGAGCCAAATTATGTCTCCGGCATCTGCGGTCAGACAGAAGACAGCTCAGCTTTACAGCCACTGACCTGGGGCCAAGGGCCGTGTCACCAAGCCCGTATAAGAGTGAGCGGCGGGAGGACACCCAGACAGGATTGGCCGAGAGACACCTGAAAAGTAAGCTCTGATTTGCCGGACGCGCTCGCTGGCTGGAGATGGGGCAGGAGCTTGGGGGCCCCCAACACAAGAGCACAAAGGAGGGGAGACGGGGCGCAAGCAGGACGCACCTCTGTCCCGACCGCTTCCAGGCAGATTCCCCGCGGGGCCCTGGGCGGTGCCCTGTGTGCAGGCCCAGCTGGCCTTGAGTTCACCTGCGCGTGGCTCTGGGGCCGGTTTTCCCTCCGTCTGTGTGTCCCTGGCTGTGTGACCCCTGCTGTGTGTCCCCCGATGTGTGACCCCCACTGTGTGACCCCTGCTGTGTGACCCCTGCTGTGTGACCCCCGCTGTGTGTCCCCTGCTGTGTGTCCCCCGGGAGGGCCTGCAGGGCTAAGCCTTCTCCAAGAGCAGGGCAGCAAGGTCTCGGCCTCGCGCTTCTACCTGGTATGACGAGCGCAAAGCCAACGCCCGGTTTCAGGAGGGCGGGGAGGGGTTCCGCCCAGATAGCGAGGCGGTGAGCTGTGCCCGCTGTCGGCCGGGGGTGCGTGCTCCCCCAGGTGCCGGGTGCTCCGCACCGACCCCCTGCTGCTGGCGTGGCCGGTGGCAGCCCTTCTGGTAAGCTGCGTGCAGGTAAGGTTCCGGAACATCAAAGACTGACTTTTTCCAGAAAGGCATTAAAGAGCTCAAGACCCCCTCCCGACGGACTGCACGGCCCCGTGGCCATTGTACCTGTGTCCACAGCTGGACGGTCACAGCGGCAGCCACCACTCAGTACAGCACAGTGCCCGCTGCGGGGTGATGTGCTGGGGGCACAGCCCTGTTTTCCCCTAACGGGGAAGCTGCTGACGCGTCTCTTCCTCATCAGGACGGAAGCCAGACAGTACAGGGGACACAGGGCCCGGGTCCCCGACGGCCAGGCATTCCCAGGACAGGGCAGGGCCTGGGCAGGGGCAGGCTGAGGTGCCTCCCCGGTCCAAAGAACCTGGGCCCCAGACGGTCACCCCGGCTCCCCCTCTAACCCGGGTCAGCAGCACAGGGCCTGCGGAGCCCTGGGACCAGGCCAAGCAGGCACACCCACAGGCCTGGTTCCACGTGCCCTCACAGCTGACCTGAGAGCGGGAGTCAGAAAGCACAGGCCGTGAGCCAGTCGGCCTGGGGGACCGCGTCCTCTCAGACAGCAGAGCTGACTTCCTTCCCGTGTTCCGGCACATTCGGCCCATGGTCAGGGTGGTCTCAGACAAGGGTTAGTCCAGCCGGAAGCCAGTGAGGTAGTGGTGCCAGGCCAGTCTGGGTGACCCCGGAGGCAGCGCAGGCTACAGGGTCTGTCTGCTCACCGCCCGGGACACTAAGTCTGCCAGGCAACCAGTGGGTGGACTTGACACACGTCAGCTCAGCACGGCCACATGCCACGGCCACCTCCCCCTGGGGCCACAGACCTCCCGGGAGCTGAGCCTGAAGCAGGAATTGCAAACCCAGAAGGGAGCCTCCCTCCCAGGAACCCCTCCCCCCTCCCAGGAACCCTCCCCCTCCTCTCTCCGGGACCCCCCTCCTCCCAGGTCTCCATCCTCATTGGAGGCCTAGGGACAACACTGAGTCACTCTCCAGAGCCCACGGCCCCTCCTCTTGGGTCCCCTACTTCCTGTTGTCAGGACACAGAACTCTCAACTTCTTAATCAAGATTCCCCGAGTCCTGCAGTCTCCTCCCGACCCTGATTAAGTGTGAAGGACACAGGTCTTCATTTGCTTCTAGAAGCCCCAGAGAGCACAGTTGCCGCAGCCCTGCCAGGCTGAGGCAGGAGGCCCCCGACTGACCTCCCCCCACCTCTGGGCTCGTGTCCCGGGCCTGCAAGGCCTTCCCCAGGAGCCGGACCCTGCCCTTCTGGGGCATGAAGCCCAGAGGCCCTGGGTGGGGGAGGAGAGGCTTCTCCCTCAACCTCCACACGGCTGGACTCAGCCAGCAGGTCAAGGAAGGAAGCCCCACTCACTGCCTTCACCCCAAAGTCACAGGGTCCCCAGGGCTCCCCCCACATGCTGGCTCCAGGAGGGGCTGAGGCCCAGTGATCACCCTGAGGCCTGGCCCAGGTCCCCACACCTTCAGGATGCTAACTCATTCGTGTCCTGCTCACTTAAATGTTTGCACACACCCATGGGCCCCAACTGTGCAGGTGTTTTACGTGCCGTCTGGGCGCTGTGGATGCTCCCAAGAGAGATCCCGACAGTGAGAGAGGAAAGGGCTGGGTCCCCAGGACAGGTCAGGCGGGCAGGGCACCATGCTTCCCCCAAACCCAAGCTTCTGGAAGGAGCGGCCTGCCGGAGCCTGTGGCCGTGGCTCCTAGGCTGGCCACGGTGAGCGGCACAGGGCTGTGGTGTGAACAGACGTCCCAGGGGAGCAGCCTGGACCTGCTGACACGTGGCGGGCCTGGGGTTCCTCAGAGTGAATGCCGGGGCCCGGCTGTGTCCAGTGCATCGTGGACGGGAACTCCAGTAAAACACAACAAAATCAGCTGTAGGAAGTGACATTTAAAAGACATAAAATAGAAGCCCAGATTTTTCTTTTCGTGGAATCCACACAAAATTCCTGCCAAACAGCCGTGGAAGCGCCTGGCCCCTTCTCTGTGACGGTCCCCAAGGTGCCGTTGCAGGGCCCGAGGGGAGGGCCAGGCGGAGGAGGCAGCAAAGCCTGGTCTGCACCTGATGGCGGGGCCACCACCTGGCCCATCTTGCTGCTTTCAGCCTCCGCCCTGTCCCCGAAGGTCCCCCAGTGCGTCCCCCCTGTTCCCAGGTGACCTGCCCCTGGGGCCCAGCAGCCTCCTGGTTCCTGTGAGGACTCAGTCCTGGAACTCTGTGCCTCCAGCTTTGAAATACGTGCGTGTGAAGCACGATGTCAGGAGATGAGTTTTGTTAAACGTCAACTTCAAGGTCCTTCTTTTCTTGTAACTTTGTTACTGGAGTGTGGTTGACGTCACATTATGTCGGGTGTACACAGTGGCTGGACCGGCGTGGATGGGGTGCTGAGCTCCCCACAAGCGTAGCTCCCGGCTGTCACCGCACCACCTAGCTCAGCGCTGCTGGCTGTGTCCCCATGCTGGGCTTTCCATCCCCATGATTCATTCACCCCGTAACCAGAAGCCGGGCCCTCCCTCTCCCCTGCACCCGTCTGTCCACCCCTACCCCTCCCCGCTGGCAACCACCAGTGTGTTCTCTGCATTTATGGGTCTCCTCCTGCTTTTTGTGCTTGTTTGTTTGTTTTTTAGATTCCACATATAAGTTAAATTCTATGGCTTTTGTCTTTCTCTGGCTGATTTATTTCACTCAGCATAATACATTAGGCCTACCCAGGTTGTCACACATGACGAGGTCGCATCCTTTTTATGGCTGAGTAATATTCCACTTAAACATGGGGGTGTAAATATCAAATTATTTGGGGGGTATAAATACCCAATCATGGAATCTTGGGGTCATAGGGTAGTTCTATTTTCAATTTTTTGAAGAACCTCCATACTGTTTTTGACTATGGCTGCACAAGTCTGCATTCCCACCAACAGTGTAAGAGGGTTTCCCTTTCTCTGAGTCCTTGCCAACACCTGCTGTTTTCTGTGTTGTTGATTCTACCCACTCTGACAGGTGTGAGGTGACATCTCAGTGTGGTTTTGATTTGTATTTCCCTGATGATGAGTGTGGTTGAACATTTTTTCATGTGTCTGTTGGCTACCTGGATGTCTTCTTTGGGAAACTGTTCATGCCTTTTGCCCATTTTTAATGGAATTGTTTGTTTTTTGTTTTGTTTTTTTGTGTTGAATTGTATAAGTTCTTTATAGATTTTGGGGGCTTTTTTGTTTTTTTTTGTTTTTTCAATGTTTGTTTATTTTTGAGAGAGAAAGACAGAGCATAAGCAGGGGAGGGGCAGAGAGAGAGAGGGAGACAGAATCCAAATCAGACTCCCAATGTAGGGCTCAAACTCAGAACAGGAGATCATGACCTGAGCCAAAGTCAGACTCTTAACTGACTGAGCCACCCAGGCGCCCCAGCCTTAGATTTTGGATACTAACCCTTATCAGATGTGTCAGACTCTGGAGGCGGCTCTCAGGCGTGCCTATAAACTACCGCCCTGACAGATTCCGTGTGGGGGTCTCCACATGGGCGTTCCGAGAACCGCTGAGCACATTGAGCTCATGATCCTATTAAATCCCATTATAGGGATTTGGGGACGAGCCCTCCTCATGGTTGTTAACACTCTCATTTCCTGTGCCGTCCAACCAACACAGCACAAAACAGCTAAGTGTCATCAATTCTCCCTTTGACAGAAGATGAGTAAAAACCTCACTCGGAAGCAGCCCAGAAGAGTGGCTTACGATGCTGGTGTGATAAAGAAGTTTTGGGAGGAAAAAATCAAGCTGCACACAAAACAGCTACAGAGCGAGGACATGAGGACCCGCAGGAGCGCCCTGGACAGGTGAGCTCACTGCCGATCACGGCCCGGGGCCACCGCGGGCAGAGCCCACCCACCCTGGGGCACTCGGCCCTGCTCTCAGATCCAGTCACAGGACGAGCGGCTGCAACCACAGAACTCACATGACCTCGGCTTAGAGCCTAGATCGCCAGGTCTGGGAGGAGAATGCCCCATCCCTGTGAACCCACCCGCCACCACCTACCCTCCATCCCTCTGTCCCACATACCACCACCCAACCCTCCACTCCCCGTCCCTTCATCCCTCCATCCCTCACCCCATCCCCCATCCCTCACCCCATCCCCTTTCCCTCCATTCATCACCCTATTCTTCATCCCACACCCCATCCACCGTCCCTCCATCCCTCACCCCGTCCCTCCATCCCTCACCCCATCCCCCCTCCCATCCCTCACCCCATCTCTCCATCCCTCAACTTATCCCCCATCCCTCACCCCATCCCCCATCCCTCACCCCATTCTTCATCCCACACCCCATCCCCCCTCCCATCCCTCACCCCATCCCCCCTCCCATCCCTCACCCCATCCCCATCCCTCACCCCATCCCCCATCCCTCACCCCATCCCCTTTCCCTCCATTCATCACCCTATTCTTCATCCCACACCCCATCCACCGTCCCTCCATCCCTCACCCCGTCCCTCCATCCCTCACCCCATCCCCCCTCCCATCCCTCACCCCATCTCTCCATCTCTCAACCTATCCCCCATCCCTCACCCCATCCCCCATCCCTCACCCCATCCCCTTTCCCTCCATTCCTCACCCCATTCTTCATCCCACACCCCATCCACCGTCCCTCCATCCCTCACCCCGTCCCTCCATCCCTCCCCCCCCCCCCCCTCCCATCCCTCACCCCATCTCTCCATCCCTCCACCTATCCCCCATCCCTCACCCCATCCCCCATCCCTCACCCCATCCCCTTTCCCTCCATTCCTCACCCCATTCTTCATCCCACACCCCATCCACCGTCCCTCCATCCCTCATCTCATCCCCCATCCCCCATCCCCCAACCCCCCCACTCCAGAAGGAGGTCTTGTTAGAAGTTGTCAAAGAAGTCTTGTCTGGCTCACTGATTTTCTGACAACTGCTCCCACAGAGCACAGGATAAATCATCACACTCCTTCCCACATATCTGCATACCCAAAGCCCCCTCTCTTCCCCGAGATGGAAGCAAGGGGCCTGTAGGTGCTGAAGAGGGTCTCCTAGGCAACCTTGAGCAGACTCGGGGGAGCCTGTTCTCAGGGGCAGCTAAGAGGGCAGGTTAGCACACAACTCGCACCAAGTCAAGGGCTCAGATGGCCAGATGCTCCGAGGCAGCCACAGCTTTCACCCTCAGACAGCACCAGCAGCTGCTGCCCTGGGCGCCCAGCTGGAAAGGAGGGTTCCTGAGGGGTGGTGGGGCCAAGCCTGGTCCTGACCTTGCCGGAGGCCTTGCTGCCGTCACCCGGGGCACCTCACCCGTCAACCAGGACACATGTCCCCAACAGGCCCAGTACAAGGGTGGTGGTACAGCCCCCACCTCACACACAGCCCAAATACGGGAAGAAGGAACCTCCCACTAACACCTCCTGCCAGCCCTCAGCTCCCTCCTGGGGGCTCCACGGCCTCAGCCTTGTCCTACGTGTACCTTTGGGCCCTGGAAACTTCTGGGTCTTCTGACCACAGACGCAGGCCCCAGGAATGGGCTCCGGGTCAGACAGTGAGAGTATGGTTGGCAGTGGCTGGGTTGGTTACCGAGGGTCTGGGCTGCTCAAGGACGGACTGCGGAGTGTGACATTCTGGGCAGGATACATGGCTGGTTGTTAGGCCGCGGACCTGGCCAGAAAGATGGTGCCCTGTCTGCTGAACAGCACCAACTCCGACAGCACCCCACAGCCGTCACACGGGCTCCAGGGAGCTCTGCGCGCTGGGGAAGGGGCAGGAGCATGGCCTACACGTGAGGCAGGCCTAACAGCCAGGGGCCTGGAGGTACCTTCCACATGCCTGTCCCGGGCACTGGAACTGCCTCTGAGCATGACTCTTGCCAGCTCGCCCCCTGGCCCGTGTGCTGGGTAGCTGGGCGCCCAGCCCACACCAAGTCCTCCAAACAGGCATCTGCCGGTGCAGAGGTCCAGGTCTGGGTCTGCCCCCGGTCCCCCCGTGTGTCATGCTGTGGTCACGGCAGGGCACCACCAGCCGGGCAGGCGGGCTGGGCAGGCACTTGGGAGCACCCCAGCAAGGGCTCGTTCAAGGGCACCGGTGAGGGGGCCCCGGCCAACCATGGGGACTCTGTCTGGTCCCCATGAGCACATCGAACCAAGCCCACTGGCAAAGGAGGAGTTCAGGACATGGCTCAGTCTTTCCAGGCCTCAGAAGTTTCTAGAAGTGGCTTTCTGGGCAGACACTTTCCCTCTCCAGGCTGAGGACCTGAGTGAGCCACTCCGTGTTGGGCCATGGCTCCCAGTGGGACCGGCTGAGCCTCGAGGTGGCAGGACTCTCTGGGACCCACAAGGTCACAGCTGCTGGCAGCCCGGAAGGAGACGGCCGCACGGGAACATGTGCGGAGGTGCCGACAGAGGCCTGGCTACTGCCCCGCCGACAGGTTGACTCACAGGCTGAAATTATCACTCTCCTAGGCTCCGCGGCGAGTGGGCTCGAATGCTGGAGGGCAGGAACAAGGTGCTGCAGAGCCTCCCCGAGGCAGCCATGAGGCCGTGCCTGCAGGGCCCCGAGTCCTTCCACGCGGGAGATACAGCAGCTGCCTGAGGCTACGAACCCGTCCGGCCAGGAACCTGAGCACAGCTGCCCCCCAGAACCGCTGGGACCCAGGTCATGGCTCATCCCCCAGCTCTTGCGGCCGTGGGTCCATCACAGCTTTGCCCCTGGAGCGTGGCAGTTACCCAATAAAGCCTAAGCTGATCAGATGACATGCTCTGTGCAAAATTCTCTCCACGTCTTTAACATTCACACGACAGAGGAAGCTTCCCGCGGGGTTATTAACCCCCAACCAGCCACAGGCACCGCACCCGGGCTCCAGCTTCCCACCTGCAGCCTGGAACTTGGCTCTATCTTGCCTTTGATCAAAAAACGCCCGTAAACTCAACCCCAGGACACTGCCTCATGTGATGCTGGGTGAAGCACTGCGTCTGTGCAGAAGTCCCTTAAATACTTCATTCAGTACCCACAACATCTCAGGAGACTAAACACCCTTATTTCTGTAGGAGGAAAGTTCAGGATTCGAAAGTGTGTATTAAGGGCGCCTGGATGGCTCAGTGAGTTGAGCATCTGACTCTTGATTTCAGCTCAGATCATGACCCCAGGGTCGCGGGATCGAGCTCCACATTGGGCTCCAAGTTGAACGTGGATTCTGGGTAGGATTCTCTCTCTCTCTCTCTCTCTCTCTCCCTCCCTCCCTCCCCCCCTTTGCCACTCTCCCTTGCTCTCTCTCTCTCAAATAATTTTTTAAATTTTTTAAAAAAGGAAAGGCCTGTATTTCCGAAGTCACAAAGGCCGTTAGGGTCGGGGTTCAGTGCCTGGCTGCACTTGGCCTGTCCCTTTGGCACCAAAGCCGTGGCCGGGACCGCCCTGGGTGGGCAACAGTGCCGAGCACACCGTGGGGGCCAGGCCACTGGAGGACTTGGCCCCCATCCCCCGACAGCATGGCTCCCGTCCCGATGTGGGAGCCCAAGCCCCCTGCCCGGTTCTCACTGTGTCTGCCCTGCTGTCCCCACTGAGCTTCATCCTGAGTGACACGGGACCTGGGGGACGGGATCTAGCCTGCGTCACCTCTCCAGATGTAGTGCTTACAGGGTTGGGGTTTTGTCTCATTTGACCCTCTGATCAAGTTGGCAGGGAGACAGGATGAGCAGGCCCCTCCAGAGAAAACGCTGCCGCCTACAGCTAAGTGACACTGGGGGCCGAGCACGGACAGGACAGGCGAGCATGAACGTCCAGGAAGAAAGGCCCAGAACCTGCCACAGGGCAGGGCTGTCTGTCTGGCCAAATGAACAAGTGGAGAGAACCCAACAAGTGTCCCTGACGATACCAGCCCATGTCCCTCCGGTTGTCCCCAGATCTCCTGTCACCACTCGTGACTCGGAGATCCCACTGATAACACACTGGGGAGCGTGGCTGTTAAGACCCAAAACAGCTCCTGAAAGAAGCCATTCGCTGACACTCAGGGAGCCCAGGCTGCTGGGGAAGCTCTGTCTGACGACAGGCTTAGAGCTACTGCTGTCAACACCAAGCTGATGTCTCCGATTAGACCGCTGTGGGGTGCAAACGCCTGTTCACACAGCAGCCCTTACTGTGAGGCTGTGCGGAATCTCCCAGAACAGCCACACCCTCCTCGCTATCTGTCATGAGCCTGTTACCCTGCCCATTAACACAGAAGCCGATGAACACCAGGTCGTTGACCAACCGATCTTTCTCTCTCCACCCCTAATCCACCCCAGGCAAAGCTGAGCTGGGTTCTTAGGCGGGAGGCATGGGGGGAGGTGAGCAGCCCCCAGCCCCAAGGGCCTCTCAGGGGCTCAGGACAGGTGGAGGGGAGGAAGGTGAGCAGCCCCCCAGGGGCTCAGCACAGGTGGGGTGAGCTTGGGTGTGGAGAGATAGAAGCAGAGTCACCCACCCTGTGGCCCCCAGTCGGCCACTCTGCCTCTGGGTGGGGAACTGGTTGCGGGGACAGATGCCCTATACCCTGTTTTGGGTGGTGTCTCCCGGCATTCACAATTGTCCCCGCACCCCGGCTGAGCTCAGAGTTCAGTGAAGTTACATAAAACAGAAAATGTTTTAAAATGAAATGCAAGGTCCACACCTACCATCCTCTGCAGCTGGCCCAGTGGCCAGGAGAGGCCCTGCCCCCATCGGACCCCCGCATCAGCCCAGCATGCACACCTGCCACCGTAGGGAACAGGTCCCACTCAGGGGTGGCTGAGCAGACCCGTGGGTTTTTCTGCTCAGGCTGGAGGAGGGGAGCAGGTCCTCGGGCTTCACACTCAGGTATCACTGTCCCCACACCAGCCACCAACCCTGCTGTCCCTGTGTTCATTCCCCCTCCTCTGCCTGCTCTGTTGCCCACCAGCCCATGAGGACTCACGACAGGAGGGAAAGGAGGGTTAGCTGACCCTCCTGTGGTAACTGCATCACATCACACATGTGCATCAGCTCATCACGGACACCTTAACTTCACAGGGTGTTACTCGCCAATGACATGCCAATGGCGCTGGGAAGGGAGGGAGGCAGGGGGCCAGGGCCAGAGGCTGGAGGTGCCCCGGCCGCCAGGATCTGGACAAGGAAGATGTGGCTTCTCCCTGGGGCATCCGGGAGGCACCAGCCCTTCTGACACCTTGATTTTATTTTATGTTTTTAATGTTTACTTATTTATATGGAGAAGAGAAAGTGCGGATGTCAGGGAGAGGGAGAGAGGGAGAGATAATCCCAAGCACACTCCACGCTGCCAGCAGAGCGCGACACGGGGCTCAACCCCACGACCATGAGATCATGACCTGAGCCAAAATCAAGAGTCAGACACTCAACTGCTTGAGCCCCAGGACGCAGCTGCAGGGAGGGGGACGGGGGAGGGCAGTCTGGCGGCCTCCTCATTCCGGGTCTGGACCCGGGTCCACGGCACACACACCTGCTCCAGGGCCGCTCACTTAGACACGGGGCACCATGCCCCCTCCACGTGCCCTCCTTCAGGTGCACCCCACAGGCCTAACTCCAAGTGCCCCCCAGAGGCCGTGGGGACAGGAAGAGGGGCCGCCCCAGCTGGGTTCCAGGCCCCCACGTCCTTCTGTCTGGTCTCTCTGGAAGATGCCCGGCAATGCCTGCCGGATTGGCCCCCAGCGAGGGCCATCTGTTCCCCGTGGCTGCCATGGCTGCCGTGGCTCACAACTCAGGGGTAACAGAATCAGGAGCACATTCAGGAAATCCATAAACAAAACCAAGTATTCTTGTGTGAGGAGGGAAGACCGCTTTCCACTGTCCTCTGCGGTGACCCACGCTCACCCCCTCCTCCACACAGCCACGAGGAACCTTGGTTTCTTCCTTACAAACCTACCAGTGTTCCTTTGCCACCTGAAAAACAAGACCCAGGCCAATTAGTTATGAGTTCACCGGATCCTCTGGTCGCCCCTGCGTAGCCCCCTTCTCTGTCGGCCCGCCCCAGCCCCTGCAGGCCCCTCCTCTGCCCCCCGCCCGCCCGTAGCCCCGCCCCAGCCCTGTGCAGGCCCCTCCTCTGCCCCCCGCCCGCCTGCAGCTCCGCTCCCAGGAGGGGGCTTCCTTGGCTCAGCTCCTCTGCTCTGCTCATGCTCAGACCAGGGCAAGACAGTGTGGAAGGTCAAGGCCAGGAGCCTGAACTTCAGCGGGTGCCCACGAGGTCAAGGGTGAAGCTCACTGTTGCTGTGGGCACCCGACCGCTGGGCGCGTTCTCCAGGAACAGGTGCCCCAGAGCCCGCGGAGTGTGAACGCACCTCCCGTGTGCGACCAGGTCCGTGGGGTGAGAAGTCAGCACACCAAGTGGCCCAAACCGTGGGCAGACAACCCATGTCCGGACCCTCCGGAATATTCAGAGCCGCGGCCGCTGGCAGACACGGCTCTTCAACATCCACCCGGGGAAGGCTCAGTTTCTTCATCCGCAGGGCGCAGATCCCACACCTCCGAGGGCTGTTCATGGAGGATGAGCCCGTGTGAACCCAGCGGTGTTGCCGCACAGCCCGCAGCTCTGCCCCGACGTCCTCCCCAGGACGTGGGTCCCGACCCCTCAGGATGTCCGTGAGCACGCGTGCTGCCGCCGCCCCTCGCGGCTGAGACACACACGCTCAGAATTTTGCCCAAGAAAGCCAGCTGTCGCTGGGAAAGGCCCTGGAGCTGACCCAGGTTCCCCCAAACCACGGCGGTGGGGGAGTGCACTGAGGGTGACTGCGCTGCCAGCCCCGGTGGTGAGCTCTGTCCTGGGTGGTGATGTGGCTCCGCGGAAACACCTCGCGCTCTCAGAGGGGCTGACTTGCACTGCGCCCTGGTCTACAGCAGCTCCGGGTGCGGATTTGCTGCCGGTGCCCTGCTGCTGGCTGTCCTGTCCTGCACTTGAGCCGCCCTATGCCCTTGAGATGCTAGGAGGTCAGAGCCTCCGCTCTGGCCGTTGCAAGTGACCATGAACATACTTGCCCTCTCACCACAAACAGGTAGAAAATCTGGCAAAGAGAGCGTTTGTTGCAGGCGCTGGGTGGCAGGCAGAAGCAGACTGTAGGCCACAAGCCACAGGGGCCAGCCTTCTGCCCAGGTGGCCTCTCCTGCCTAGGAAGTGAGGCCCGCAGGGAAGCAGGACCCACAGGAAGAGCCTGGGGCCACTGAGTCTTCCTGTCTGAGGCCTTCCTGTGCGGGACAAGCCTCCAGAGATGAGAGAACAGAGGTGCTGTGTCCCTGCCCTGTCAAACGGGGGTCTTCCCGGGGGTCACAATCTGGGGAGAACCTAGAAGGCCAGGCCTCAGGGATAAGAAATGTGCCCAGGAGGAAAGACCACAGTGGAGCTAAAGGACTCAGGATGGGCCCAAAGGGTGTGGGGCCAGGCCCTTACCTGCCGGGCAACACCCTCCCCAAGGAAGTCATTCCCTCCTCCCTGGTCTCACGCACCTGCCCTGTGGGGCCCATTATAGATGACATCTCACTCAACACGGGGTGCAAAAGAGCAGAGCAGAGAGGAGGAAAGTGGCAGAGGCAGAAGTGAGCACACTGGAGCCAGGGGCAGCCCCGCCCCCTGCCAGGAGGACTGGGCAACCTCAGCGCTGAGAGCCCAGAAGAGTCGGGAAGAGCT